AGTTGCTCAATATTTCCTGTGCTCTTGAATAAGCCAACGGTGAGGGCAGCATGACGCACTCTTATGTCGCCGCTCTCGCATCACCTCTTCAATAGTGGATTAAGTACAGGAGCCTCTGTCCAGCATCTTCTACTTTTCTCTCCACGTACACTTCAAATTGTCGTATAAATTTCCTGTAATGTATTGAGTTGCGTTAAAACAGAACAACTCAACCTTGGGCAGATCTAAACTGGCACTTGGCAGACTCCTAACACTTGCTTGGGGCATATGAACATTCTCACGTTGACAACGATTACTCTATTCAGGAGGGATTACATTCAGTGTGCATTCTTTCAAATATCTCGAGACACGGGCGACGGAATCCACTGGTTGACGGTCTTCATCAGACATCTCTTAATCGATCTTTATCTCTATCCTGGCAAGCTCGGTCCTTCTCTCGACATCAAAAATAGCCCATTGGAGTTCGGCCTCACGTTTAACTCGTCTCTCTTCTATTTCGGCTATTCTTAGGGCTTTAACTGTTTTACTGGAATTACGACTACTAATAGAAACGTTCTTACAAGAACCGAACTGGACGTTTTTCTTCAGCTCTCCTTGTCCTTCGAGGGCACCTGGTTTGTCTAGTCCGAGAGACTGTTCCGTACCGTCCGATTCATTATTCATGGAACGTGTCTGCATTTGATGAAACTAATTTCCCCGAATTTATGGTAAGATGTTGAGTACTGCAGAATTCTTCGTAGATTGACTCACGCGTATAAGCCAAAACAGATCTCGGTGTATATACTATACTATTGATAGAATACGGTAATAATATAAAACGTACAAACCTCAATACCGGATACCCTAGACAAAGAATTTCTTTGTTACTGTTCCGGCAAATCGAATTCCCAGCTCAAGGACAGAAGACAAAAATTAGTTAATTAAAAGAATGCTGATCACGCTCCAAAGGGGGTTACAAAAAGGAGAAAGGGGAATGTCACCAGGGCCGAATGTGGAGGCACTTGCGAAGAGGGTGTAGAGAATTCCAAACGTCAACCAGCTGGATACAACAGAAGGCGATTGATATTTTTCTTAAACCAAGAATAATTTTACAGAATTTTTATATTCGCGGGTTACTGATTTCAGACTGAATTCACGATATTTAACTGTGCGTCTCAGAGGAAGAAATAAAAAGACCTCGCTGTGACTGTTGCGCCGAGAGTGGTTAAATGCTTCAAAGTAGTAAGGAGGTTGAATGTACGACTGTTTAATAACCTGAACAGTAAAATCCCCGTTTCTGATCTGCGAAACAATAAGCGACCGAGACTTGTGATTATACAACGTTCTCAGTACGTCAAATTCGACGCCCCATGGTTAAAACTATTTTGGAAAGGGTGCTAGATGAATTCTGTTTTATTCCACTCAGCAGAGCGCAGGGGACTAAACAAGAACGATCACTTTTGCAGGCCATATCTAACGTGTATTATATAAAGCGGGTTCTAATGTCACTGGTTTTAAAATTTTGGAATATAAAACCCATTCATCTAGGTGGTTTAGAGACAATGTCCTGAAAGATCAGGACACTTGGATTATGGAGTACTCAGACTCTCAATAATGACGGTCATACTTGTGCCGTGAATGTCAATGCTTGGTTGATGCTGAGGACTATCGAGAACCACCGTAACTGAACAGCCATGTTAGGAAACGGAAAGGCGCCATGTACAGCACTCCCGGGCGAAGGCATAAAGACTACTCCTTAAGAGATCGAACATGGTATCGCGATATGCCGGGTTGCATCGGCCGACAACCTTCAAATCACCGCACACATAAAAGGCCTGCCATTCCGAAAAACATCTGGTACGATAATGGCAAAAATTCAAGATAAGAGCCGTCTGAAGTTAAGAATCCATCATTTTCACGAGGTCGGTACTCCGTGTGTATAATAATAATTGTTTATTAAAGACCCGTCGGGGTCCCATCAAATAATTAGTTTCCGGAATACCTTGAACGAAAAGGTTTAACTATAAGAAAGTGTCATCGGAGTCGGAACGCTTTTGTACACAAGACCTAAATGAACGAGTGTTAGTCTCTTAAGAAGGTTTTTGTTTGAAATTCAATTTTGGCTGTTATTTCTGTCACAGCTGCTGACTTTGTAGATTCATGCCTGACCTTATGCCAGCATATCGTACGTAAACCGACGCACACTTGTTTAAAGGAGGTTCAACCGTAACAACTCAGGCAAATGCCTAATTACGTTAGTCATTTTAAGTCAGTTTGTTAAGGGAATGAGGTTTTCGCCCATAAGCTGCCTATTCGTATCCAAAACAGCAAAAGAATCAGTTGTTACACCAGTAGTTCTGGAAATTCAAAAGTTTCGGCATATGTGGGCCAGGCGCAAACTGGCGCCGCTGACATAATCGTGATTATATGTACAGTAGTTTCTCAGAAAACGGGCGTCTAGTCTGCACTTAAAGGATCCAACAGTTTTGGAAAGAACCACCGCATCAGGGAGTCCATTGAATGCGTCAATGACCCTCTTCGAGGAGACGTTCCGTCAGCATTGTCGGAGGAAAATGCTGATGCAGTTCTGAGATACGCAACAGGCTCATTTCTTCTTGCAGAAATTTTCGCGTACACATATCGAAATGCAGACGCTGTTCTTAGTTTGTGTAGGCAAATATCAAAGATAACATTTAGGAGATGCGTTTATCATGCTTTTGATGAACAGTTAAACCGAATTGCCAAAAATATAAGGGAACTGTATCCGTCTGACTCAAAATAATGGTAAAGGGGTGGTTCCTTTACCCTCAACTCGTCAAGCGACACCGACAATTCTTATTCTGACGAAGAAATCAGTTTGGTAGCTGTGGCATCGAACATGGGGTCCGAGGAATCTACGAGGATCCTATTAAGTGAAGAGGAGTCGACCGTATGAGCTGCTCCTCGTGTGTGAGTGATATTCTGCATTATATAGTAAGTTTATAATAGCGTACAATGTCCAAAACACTTGTCAACCTATCGGACGATTTTCTACAGCACGTCCCGCCTCGTGGCTTCTTGTCATTTCCTTTCGAAAACCATCTTTGCAGATTAAAACGTATGCTTAGGTAACCTTAGCAGCCGCTACTGCATGTAGTGCTTAAATTGGGGAAGCTGCATGCAAAGTGGCGCGAGTCGCACTACCCACTAAATCGGACTTCAAATTATAAACACTGCAGCGGTACACTGCAGCCAACGAGTAGCTCGTTTGCATAATTTAGGTCTATTCAGAAAAACATTCTTCTCATTGGTACGACACCACCAGAGTAGTCGGTCGTATTGGACGGTTGGTTGCTGTGCATTAAGAACGTAGTACGTTACCCACCTGGGGACGTAGGGTTAGTGCATTTGCGATACGACAATGGCGAAGATTGTCTTACTTATCCTGCTAACTCATCAAATATCAAAGTTCTTAGAGCTAGGATGAGAACTGTAGTCAACACTTGCCCATTGATGCCATCCGTATTTAAATACATCTGTCTCCTCATCGACGATCACTTCGTCCTAATTGGAATCAATGGACGTTGGGAGATAGATAACTGGCAGCATTGATTGTTCGTACGGTTCGCCGTCCTTGACCGAGGAATTTTTCGGATACTTAATGACTGCGTTGGATGGTGGCCTTTCCTTATATTCTGGAGTAGTGCTTCGGGCTGCTGCGATAGCATCTCTCACTGTTCATCGGTTACTATCCACAAAACTTACAACTCAACATTCCCACAACTATTGTTTCGTGGACAGTGAGGGGAGGCGATAACTAAGTGTAAACTTTTGACTCACCTTAACCCCTCCTTTCCTGTTGGATTGCAGAGTATTATGTCCGACAGAGAAAGACTCAATAACAACTAATGTTCCAAGCGGACAGTTAAGAACCTCTACGATGAGAGAATATGGGCTACTTTAAACATACCACAGTTCTCTTTGTCTTCCGCGGGCCTGGCAACTGCATGATTTCCGTCTCTTTTGGCAGGCTGAACCCGAGCGTGCTGACTTCAGCGCAACACTTCCGTTGGAGACTTCCTCCCCAATAGCAGGCTATCACTACCTATCCTGAATGTTCTTCCCAGGCAACGACAATCGCCGACATACATCGTCTCAGAGGATAGGAGGCTGCGTTAAAGACCCATCTCTGCTGGTTGGGGCAGATTGACACACAGTCCGAAAGGCTGGCGCGCTGCTCCAGCTCCACGCCTACGCCTACGCCATCACCTACGAGGCCCATGTCTAAACACATGGAAACCCACCAGGAGCTGGGCGTTATCATCAGTACGCTGTCGAACACTGTGTTTCGGCAGCAGGCGGTAAGTTTCCCGTACATTCCGACTTATCCACACGATTTAGCAATTGGCCACCTTTGACGGGGATGCAACGAATGTCTTTGTTGATCGCATCTTCAGCGCACTTTTCGCAGATGAAATTACGCATCACCCAACATTTTACGGCCGGTAGGAGAAAAAAAGTGCCTTTCGTAGTTCCACCATCTACGCTCTAATCCTCGGTAAGATAAACAGCCCTTGTTCGTATACAATATCCAAAACATGTGTCTTCATTAAGTAGAACGTCGACCAAAGTTTTGATGGCAATCAGCCGGAAAAAGTACGTAAGAATATGCCCCGAGGTAATAGCCCCAACACTGATTACCATCCTATTTGGTTTTCGACAAAACAGATGTGACTATCAACAATCCTTGACACGGCCCTTCTCCGCGGCCGTAAATCAACTTATGTGTACATATTTACCTTAACAAAACATGTCCATGCGCGTATTCTGACACACTTTTGATATCTGTTTCCTGCAAGTAGTAAAAATTTACTACTGTTTAAAAATGTAACCTATATACCAAATCTCCCCTAATCTATATTTCCACTATTACAGAATACCTAGATTAGAATTAGAGCAAGAATTTGAAGGGAAATGGCAGGGAAAGGGAACTGCTGTGAACATGGCAGTCAGTACTGTCGCTTTTTTTCCCGGCGGCAGACATGCGGCTTTCAGGTCGCCGCTTCTTCCTTCGGGGCGTGCTAGTACTGGAGCGTGGGGAGGTATCATCCAATAGGTAAGTATGAACATTTAGAGTGTCTACGGAGGTTTGGGGGAACGTGCATCCGGAAATTGTATCGCTTGAATCACTTGCGCTTTCTGAGTTCTGAGTGGTATATAAGGCAATAACTTGAAAGCCTTACTGGTGACAATGACTGGTCATCGTCCGACACCCAATTCCTACTGTGATACTTTTTATAAGGCCTTCTACATCGGTGTGGTCGGTCTGGCATAGTTCTCTACAACCTATGAAACCATCAGGGCCGTACAGCAGCTCCCCAGCGGGAAAGCACCCGGATCGGACGCGATCCCCGCTGAGGTCTACAAGCACGGAGATCCCCTACTGATGGATCACCTGACTGCGCTCTTCCAGGAGATGTGGCGTCAAGGTGATGTCCCGCAAGACTTCAAAGACGCAACAATCGTGCACCTATACAAACGCAAAAGAAACCGCCAAGTGTGCGACAATCACCACGGCATCTCCCTACTGAACATCGCCGGGAAGATCTTCGCCCGCATCCTTCTCAACCGCCTCAATAATCATCTGGAACAGGGCCTTCTGCCGGAAAGCCAATGCGGCTTCCGTCGTCATCGTGAAACCACGGATATGATCTTTGCCGCCCGTCAACTTCAGGAGAAGTGTCAGGAGATGCGGACCCACCTGTACTCTACCTTCGTGGACCTGACGAAAGCCTTCGACACTGTGAATCGTGAAGGACTGTGAAACATCATGCAGAAATTCGGCTGTCCAGAGCGATTCACTCAGATGGTGCGTCAGCTGCACGACGGTATGATGGCGCGAGTCACGGACAACGGAGCTGTCTTAGAGGCATTCGCAGTGACCAATGGAGTGAAGCAGGGATGCGTGCTGGCGCCTACCCTCTTCAGTCTTATGTTCTCTGCCATGCTAATGGACGCCTATCGTGATGAACGCCCCCGAATCCGCATCGCCTACAGGACGGACGGTCATCTCCTGAATCACCGGCGCATGAACTTCCAATCGCGTGTATCCACAGCCACCGTGCACGAACTCCTCTTCGCCGACGACTGCGCCCTAAACACCACCTCAGAAGAGGAGATGCAACGGAGCATGGACCTATTCTCCGCCGCCTGCGAGAACTTCGGTCTGATCATTAACACGCAGAAAACGTTGGTGATGCACCAACCGCCACCCAACTCAGCCACAGCCCCCAACGCGCCGCAAATCAGCGCGAACGGAACCCAACTGCAAGTGGTGGAGAACTTCCCGTACCTGGGCAGTACCCTCTCCCGGAACACCAAGATCGATGACGAAGTCGCCAACAGGATCTCTAAAGCCAGCCAAGCCTTCGGCCGCCTCCAAAACACAGTTTGGAATCGCCACGGCCTTCAACTGAGCACGAAGATAAAGATGTACAAGGCCGTCATCCTGCCGACGCTACTGCATGGAGCGGAGACGTGGACGGTGTATGCAAAGCAGGCACGCCGACTGAATCACTTCAAACTCAGTTGTCTCCGTCGCATCCTGAGGCTGAACTGGCAGGATCGCATCCCCGATACTGATGTGCTAGAACGTACGGGAATGCTCAGCACCCACTCCATGCTGAGACAAATGCAGTTGCGCTGGAGCGGCCACCTGGTGCGCATGGACGACGAGCGACTACCCAAACGACTCTTCTACGGAGACGTCGCGACGGGTTCTCGCCCTCAAGGAGGCCAAATTCGCCGTTACAAGGATACGCTGAAGTCCTCCCTGAAGCGTCTGCAAATCAACCCGACCAACTGGGAAGAGCTCGCCCGCGATCGTCCGACATGGAGGAGAACAGTGAAGACGGGCGCTGCTATCCACGAAGCCAACCGCATGGCCGCTGCCAAAGCGAAACGCGAAGCCCGCAAATCACAATCTCGCCCAGTACGCAACGCCGCCGCGCAACCGCTTTCAACGTGTCCTCGATGTCAACGGACATTCCGGGCTCGAATCGGACTTGTTGGACATCTTCGGACCAATTGCGCCTCTCGAACTGCACCAAACATCGTCCCCCCGCCCGACTCTTCCTCCCCGCCGCCGCCATCTAACTCTGACAATTCTTCTGAACCACCACTTCTATCCTCCTTCTCATCCTCCTCCTCCTCCTTCTCCTCCTCCTCCTCCTCCACTGCTCCAACGGCGGCCGCTCAGGCGACTGTCACGCGCGCAACAACCGACGCCACCACCCCCACCTCCCCCGACTCCAGCGATGAGGATCAGGACTACACCTGCCCTCACTGCGACCGCACCTTCACCTCACGCATCGGCCTGGTCGGTCACTTGCGAATCCATCGCACAGAGACTGGCGAGCCAGTGCCTGGAGCACCAACCTACACCCACCGCACTCGCCTTCACTGCCCACACTGCCCTCGCACCTTCACGCATCGCATGGGTCTATTCGGCCACATGCGCATCCACGAGAGCGCCATTGACCGCACTCCTGACACACCTGCCACATCCAACGCATCATCTGTGCAAAACCCCACACCCGCTCCACCCGTCCGCGCCACCACCACCACCACCTCCTCTGTGGGTGACACTGACACCGCCGATTTCTCATGCCCACTGTCCACGCACATTCACCCCACGCATCGGCCTGGTCGATCACTTGCGAATCCATCGCACAGAGACTGGCGAACCAGTGCCCGGAGCACCAACCTATACTCATCAAGCTCGTCTCAACTGCCCACACTGCCCTCGCACCTTCAGGCATCGCATGGGCCTATTCGGCCACATGCGCATCCACGACGACCTGCGGTAGACAACCGCCGTCCAAACCACACATTCACTCACTCCCTACCTACCACCACCACCATCACCCCACCACACATCAACACTCCCACACCTCATGCACCCAACTGTCACCTCCCACGCAAGTGGGAAGCGTGCATCTGGACTCGGTCCTCATGCGGCTTCGGCTGCAGGGGTCACTTGAGTCCGAGACTATCCCGACACGTCAAGCGTCGTGGATAGGAAGGTTGCTGATTGACGCCCGTTCTCGGTTCACGCAGTTCGTCACCTTGTGTGCGTGTGTTGTATGTAGTGGCGGACTGGTGGGCTGGGCAGCGGGCTGAAACAGCACCTTCCACGGCCCTCTCACGCAAGTGAGAAACAAGCCGCTCAACCCCCGTTGTGTGAAATCCTGGTGTTTGTGTGTATTGGGGGGCCAGGTCGTGCTGTGGCGCAAGCAGGCATGGTCAGTCGACCGTGTCAGCCACCGCGCCCATTTCCCACTCCAGTCTGCTGACCGGCTCGGACAGCGGCTGGGGTGTGGGGATGGAAAGGGAGAGTAAGGTCGACGACTCAGCGCATTTTCCTCACTATAATCAATCTGACGCGCTTGAAGCTATCACGGTGCGCTAAAAGCCGTGGCTTGGAAGGTTGCCAACTGACGGGATACCTTGGACCTCCTCCTTCACTGGAGGCGGTCTGAGAGTCAGGCTGCAATGGCTCCTTTTTAATGTGGCCTTTATTGCATTCCCACCACAGCGTGGGATCCGAGCCAGGCGTTGGCGGCACACCTAGGTGCGGCTTCGGCCGTGCCAGCCTCCAAATCTCTGTTGTGTTGGTTGAAATCCTGGTTATTTGTTGTGCGGACCAGGGGGTGTGGTGGAACGCCAAGATGAGGATCCGTCCGAGTCATCCACCTGCGGCCTCCCTTGTCTCCGGTCTTCTTGACTCTGTCTTGACACCGGGCTCAGGCGGGGGAGGAGGAGAGAGTGTAGGTAAACGCAGCGCAAGTCTACTGGCACTATAAACCCCTGCGCAAGTCACCGTCCCTGCTCCCACCTGCTGTGGGGCATACGGTGGACATCATCGAAATCGATGGTCGAACTGTCACCAGGTTAACTTTCACTGTGCCCCCTCACTATTCGCGAATCAGTAACTAAGGGACTGTTAGGTTGTAGGATTCGCGAAGAGTGCCAACTGAACGGTTAGAATATCAGTGAGACGAGTGACAATTGCCGAGAATGTAAGGAAAGGATACCGTCGGACGAATTTTTTCGTCAGCCGATAAGACTCCCAACAAGGAACCCGATAAGAACGGCTCACAACTGCGCGTATGCAGAGCCCCAGCGCCCATTAATTTCGGTTAGGACGAAGTAGTTTTGCATTGGGAAGCACGCAAACTTCTGAACCGTTAGCGGCAATGAGCAGTTGTAAATCTCAGTGTCTAGCCTAGCCTTGAAAACCTTAACTTTTGATGACCTAAGTGGATAATCAACGTGGTCTTCAATAGTGCAATAGTTAACGAAAACTAATTGCACCTCATCTGATGGATACCGTTCTACATTCTTAATACGTACCAGCTTACCGTCAGTGGCTACAGATCCATCCGAGGGCGTTGTGCCAATGAAAAAGTTGCCTATCTGTATAATTTTATACTGTGTGACTGATCCATCTGAGAGCGGCAGTGGACCTTCAATATGCTCATGCTTACATGTCCATTCCATTGGAATGCAGACATTACGTATTAAACGCCGTAGTTCATCTAATCGACGCACTACTGGCTGCAGCAGTTGTGACGGCCGCCTTATCAACCGCTTGAGCCTCTCTGGGTAAATTTCGAAGGGAAGTGATGAGAAGTTGTCTAATGGACCATGTCGTAAGCCATTTTCCGGGAGGTGAAGCATGCTGTGAATATTATACACCATTTCTCCTTTACCATTCAAGAGTGCAAACATGCGTAGTATTTCGAGAGAAATAAGTTCTTTGGGAATGATAAACCAGTTTTATTGTGAATTTTCGATCTTGGTTCCCCAAGTCGTCCTCAGACGTGAAGAAGATGTGCAAAACAGTTAACATTTAAACATGCCGAAAAAAATCGATTTTGCTTTGTCATTCCTGCCGGTGTAATGTTCTGATTGGCTAATGCCTTTTCCACTTTTCCTTGAGGCTGTTGTACACCGCATCCAATTCTACGTGTCGGTTGATGCATGCGTTATCAGAATGGATAGCCTCCAAAAATTCACGTCCCTTCTTAGATGAGCAGACACCTACAATGCGGGTCCTGTCCCAGGCGAATTTGTGCCCAGTTTCCAACGTATGCATGGCAACTTGGGACAGGTGGTCTCGCCTTTTTACGGCCAACTGATGTTCGTGTATTCGTGTAGAGGCCGATTTTCCAGTTTGACCACAATAAACTGCATTACAGGTGCTACATGGTATCTTATAGACGACTTCCTTCTTATCTAAATAGCCAACCCTATCCTTAGGGTGTACAAGCTGGTTACGAAGTGTAGTCGTCGGTTTGTGCGCCACATGTATTCGGTGCTTCCTCAAGTGTCTGTATGTATCTGCTGTAAGGTAACCAGGTTCTGCAAGAACGCGGCCAAACTAAGCTCCAAACTGCTGTAACAAACAGTGGGAAAAGTTTCCAATATGTGCGAAGAAGAACGCCATTAAGCACAACTATGCTTGTCTACAGCAAAAACTGCCGCAGTTCCGTACCCTTCCATATGTCCATGTCAGACATTGCCCTAGCACGCCGTGAAAATTCCCGCGGCAGAGGAACATTTACGGAACGTAACGTATTATTGATCTGAGAAACTTCTGATGTTTGATGCATTTTGTCCCGGTACGAAGCTGAAGCAAGCAAGCGGGGCAGGATCCAATGGTACCAAAAAAATTCGCGACGGCTTGTCAGTTGCTTCCTGTCGCTTCATAACGTAGATAACGAGTGGGAAGAATACAGCAGATTTGAATTCGTGCAGAAA